TTGATTGAGTTTGAGTTGGAGTGTATTCATGTAGCACTCTAGTATATGCGTAGTTTAAACATAAGAATCTAATATTTTTGGAAAGCAATTTATACAATTCTCTATCCTATGTTAAGGATTTCAATCAATTAAAGAATTTGGATACATCTGGTAGACGATTGCATAAGCATAAACATTCTGAGTGTATATATTATTATGATGCTAAGTAAAATATCATGTCCTCATTACGCGGTTGGGGGTTAATGAATTTTAAATATTTAAGATTTCGGCTCACGTTGCCATCTCTAGGCTGGGTGTAAGCAGCTTGCACAGGTATTTGGTAGTTATGGGACGTTTGGCATTCCTTTATGTATGCTCGCACATTTGCTGTGAAGGAAGTGTTTGGGCCAGAGTGGGATGTCTTTATGTATTGGTTGTAGCTGCTCCGGCAGCTGCTTTCGCTACTGCAGCTGCTGCTGCTGTTGTTCCTGCTGTTGCTGTTGCTGCTGCTGCTGTTCCTTCTGCTATTCTTGAATTTTATGCTGCCACAGGTAGTGGGTGGGATGGGCCTGGGCTGGTTTGCGGCTTCCTTGGGTGGGTGGCTCGATTTAAGCTGGCTTCGTGCGGTGCCCAGGCGGTGTAGCTCCCCGCTGTATGCTTAACGTGGGCGCTCGGGCACAATGCGTTTTGATTGATGTTGGCTGTTCGCTGGATGCTTCCTGTTTTGCTTCTCGCTTGCTTACAATCAATTTAAATGCGCCGTTGTGCATTGTAAAAAGTTCCTTTTTGCTGTTGTCGGCCAAATCGTTATGTGAGGCCATAAAAATGGAATAGTGGGACACATGCACACACACATACACACAGAGAGAGAGAGAGAGAGGGAGAGAGAGTAAGACAGAGAAGAGGAGAGGATGAAGCGCTTGAAATTGATGCTGTTTGCTTTGGTAGGTGTTGCACTTGCCCCACAGCCCCAAATGCAACTTGATGCAGGTTTCCTTCTGTTACGTTGCAGCTTCTGTTGTTGTTGTTGAGCTGAGCAAGCCAAATCGTTTATCATCTTTATAGCCAGCTCTATGTGCAGTGGGGCTAATCGAAGCCTGAATATCGGCTCTGGCTACAAAGGACAGATACAAGACTTTGTCCTTCCATAAATAACAGCAACACGAATCAATCAAGTCTTAAGACAGCCCAGGGGGAGCTGGCCGGAGAAAAAGAAGCAGCGGCCGGGCATGATTGAATCCAAGCATTATTCGAGTTTATTTCAGATTTCAATTTGCAATTTCCTTTTTTGTGTGTCATTAAAATATAAAGAGATTATTGCGTGTTGCACTTGTCCAAATATGTTTTAAAAAATTTATTTTTAATATAATAAAAAATACATATATATAAAATATGAATTATAACTTCAGAATATCATGAAACTTTAATATATTATTATTTATTCAACAAAAATATTTTATAATAAACTAATTTCTGATATTTTAATAAAAAAGATTGTATATGTATTTATTATTTTATTATAAATTCTGTTACTAAATGAAATTTATTTTATTTTTTGTTATTGTTATTCTGTTTCTTAGTATCGACATTTTTTTTTTTTAAGAATTTGAAGAAATTAAGAATGATTTATTTGTCAACTATAATTGAAAGATATAAAAGTCAAATTACTATTAAAATTTGATTTTATAGCAAAGACAAGAACACACTTATTTGCTTTCTAAATAAATACATTAATAAATGCATAGTTTTCACATATCAAATAAAAAATATTTATTCAGTTTTTAATACTAAGCTAACCCAAATATATATACACACTCTTTCATATATACCATATGGAAAACACCTATTTAAAATTCTTGTTCTAGTTGACATATCTAAAGCCTTGTGAAACTTTTTGAGCTTGAATTTTAACATACATAAATTAAATAAACATTTTTATTCTTGAGCTTTAAAAGAGGACTGCCGCTGCTCAACCATGAAGCACTGTACATAAATTTTCTTGAATTTTTATTTATTATTTCGCAGACAGAAAACAAAAATTTTATTCTGAAACATGCAACAACAAAAACATATATACATATATAGCAGTTGTCAATACATAATGCCATGTATTATTCATAATTGAAAAGTTTTCTATAAATTATGTAAATTTGTTTTAAATACTTGAAGCATTCTCCAAGTGTATTCGAAATTGATTTGTGACCCACATTCATTGTTAAATTCTCTCAGTTTTTTGGTTTTGGTCTATCTATTTTTTTTTTTTTTTTTTTTTTTTTTTTTTGGTAATTTTTATGAATGCGCACACAGAACTTTACTAACAAAAGTGCCAAACTGTCTACAGCAATCAGTTGGTCAATTTCTCAAAGTCAAAGCTCGCTCGAATAATGGCCTTAGTGCCCATCGCCCACTGCCACGCCTACTTTTGTGTAGCGACTAAAAGTTGTTTGCTTGTTTGTTTGCGGCGTGCACTTTTAACTCGATTAACTATTTGCAAATATTCGAATTAAAGTCATTTCTGTTATTTCCTTCTCCACTTAGTTCAGCTCGAGCTCTTCAAGTGATAATCAACTTCTCGCCTTCTAATTCCCAAGCGGTTATTGCGCAAATTGAATTGATGTCCGTTATCTTATTTTAGCCCAGTTAACTATGCGACGCACTCGAGCTAGAAATACTTCAACAAGTCGGAGTCCTTCTGGCTGTTGTTCTGTGTGAGTGAGTGTGCGTGTGTGTGTGTGTGTGTGCCGTGATTGTCGATAAGTGATGATTGATTCCTCGTTGAGCACAGATGAATGAGTATCGTTTGCCAGCCGAATGAGCCCCCTCACATTGTTTGTTTAATTCAACGCCAGTTTATTAATTTAGCTACTTACAATCGGAAATTACTCAATGCTGAGCAAGAGAAGAGGCGCATAAAGTTCTAGAATCCGCTGCTTGTTGCTGTGTTTATTTTATGCCTGATGATAAATTTGTTTATTATGTAGACTGAATTCATAAACGAATACAAAACGATGGAATAGTGATTCTGCTCGTAATTGAAACTGTGATTGGCTTTTTTGCTACAAGCTCTTTTTCATCAATACGGAGCCTTAATTAACGCCACAGGAATAAAATATTAAAATTCTGAGTGTGTTCTTTTTGGCAGCTTTCGCAACAATCAGAAAATATGGTATTTTTCATGCATATATTATATTATCGTTAATTACTATGTAGATATCCGTATTATTTTCCTGAATTATATTTTGATTTTTATATTAAATTATTGAAAGAGAGAACTTTGACAAATGCATATACATATATATTTCTATTTTATTTTTTATTTTTTTTATATTTATTTCTTTCGTTCTGGCTGCTACTATTGACTGTTTTTTATTTTAATTTAATTTGAAATTTCATTCTCATTCTCAATTTCATTCATTTAGTCAGTCTCTGTTGCTAATACTATTATGTGCACATTAAAAAGAGAAGTGTCTGAAGAAATTACTCTGATTTCCTACTTAGCGATCGAGTGTGAAACGTGAGTTCGGCTCTGGGAGAGTCGACAGTCGGCAGTCATATAAAGGCAAGTCTGCTGCACAGTTTCTTCAGTCGCTCCCCTCGTGTCTCGGTGCTCAGTCGTTAAGTGTACTGCTGAGTAGTAGACCTCTTCACCTGTTCGGCGCTGTGGTAGTAGTATTAAATATTTTAAGCAGAGCTGTAATGAATTTATTAAGCGTCATTATAATATAATTATCTTTATTTGAATGAGGTAACTATCAATGAAATTAAATATGGAGTGTCGTAAAATTTCATTTCTTCTAATGAGAAAACTGTTTATATTAACTATTAACTATAAACTTATAATAAAAAAGAAGAAATTTATACTTTTTAAATGAAAATTGTTAAACAAATGAATGAATAAAATAATAAGTTATAATCTAATAATTATTCCTTTCAAAAAAAAATTTATTTGTAAATTTGGCTATTATAAAATTAAAAATATACTGCAGCTAATGAGTTTGCTTGTGTATGTGTATGTTTTTTTCCAATTTGTTTAAATTGGTTGCACTTTGCATTATTTTGTCAGACTCTATATGCGTCTCTAAGCCAACATACACTTATTATTGTACTATTATTGTTACACATTATTTCAAACTCATCAGACTTTGCTGTTTTCTTTCTACACTCCTTCACTGTGATTTTCAATGTGTTTGTTTACAATAAATGCTTTAAATCAAACACCCGAAAGTATGCAAATGTTTTGTTGTTATTATCATTGCATATGATTATACGATAGTTCGGTCCGTTGCTCTTTATTAAATGTTTTCTTTGAGATATCAAATTTGAATTGCGTTCATACTTCACAATAATCATACAATGTTATTATATTTTCATTTGTATAACTTATACTGTCACAATTTTATTTTTCTGTCGTGCATTATGAGCTGTGGAGAATCTTCACATTAAATACAATTTTAAAAATTAACATTACTGTTGTATTAATATTTAAAGTTGCAACGAAGGAAAACTCTTAGTCATATCTCTGTGGTAATTTAAATAAAATTGCATTGATTGGAATTATGTTTAGTAAAATATATATACATGAGTGTATGCACATTAATTAATATATTATACTTGTATATGTAAATAATAGCCCTTTAAGTATGTACTCACTGAGTGAGCTGCTTTGTTGAGCAACTCTTGCTTTTAAGTCTGGCAATAATAGTTCTTCCATGAAATGCACATGAGAGAGGACTTGAATTTGAAAAACCACTAACCGAAATGCTTTTAAGCTATCTAATTCAATGGGCTCTCAAACTGTGACCGCTACAGCAATTTGTCTCCCATTCGAGTTGAACTCGAATCCGCATTGCTCGCAGCCAAATGGCAAATTCACGCAATTAAACACCAAATTGAATTATGCATATCAAATATGTGTGCAGAGTGTGTGTGTGTGTGTGTGTGTGTGTGCGTGAAGTAAACAAATTGATTTTGATTTATTTATTTATTGATGCAATGTGTGTGTACGTTCTCAATTTTTGCAGTGCCAAAAACAGAAGCAGACCAACAACAGCAGAAACAAAAAAACGAAAACAAAAAAAAAGGCGATTTCGTTGACCCAAAATGTCGGAGCTGAGCCCAACTGGATATAGTTGGTTGGTGCTGGCCTAGAAAATGTCAACATCGTGAATCATGTGCTCTACGCATTGAGGTGGAGACACACACACACAGATCGTTGCACAACACAGCAGAACAGAGAGCAAAACAGAAATCAGAACAGAACAGAACAGAAGAGAACAGAACGAACCCTATTACACTATACAACACGGTGCGAACTGTACAATGGTCATCCAGTGCACATGCGATTGCAATTGCAGTGATAGAGAGAACCGCAGCTCCTGTTTGCCACGCCTTACGCTGCGACTACGTGCCACGCCCCTGGATGCTGGCAATGATATGGAGCATCGTTTGTCCTACTATCGCCGGCTATCGAATACCTCATCAGCGCTCTACGGCAGCTGTCCCCAATTGCTGCCCGTTGGCCAAACGTGCCACAGCCATAACCAGAATCAGAGTCAGAGTCAAAGTCAGCTGCAGAATCTGAGTCGCAGCCTGGAGCAAGAGCAGGAGCAGGAGAGGGAGCGTGAGCTTAGGCCATATTCGAGTCTGGTGCGCACCAAGCACAGAAGCTCCGTGCTGTGCAACAAATGCGCGCTGTGACGAAGATACAACCTAAGCTGTGAGCATCCCGAGTCGCAACAACCGCAACTGCATCCACATCCGCAACAAGGCCGCAACAAACCAGCACCAGCAAAAGAGACAGCCGCAGCTGCAGCTGCAGTCAACGGCCCAGAGGCTCGGCAGGAGGCAGCCGCCACGCTCAGCACACCACGATATTTGTGTGCCGAGTGCCGATTTAACAACCAGCCGCTGGCCTGGTGGGTCTCATGTCCGCGTCTCTCCAATCTGCCCGCTGAACAGCCTCAAATGCCAACGACAGCAATGCCGTCACAGCCAGCAACAGCTCAGTCACAGGCCCAGGGTCAGGCACAGGCACAGTCCCAGGGCCAGGCCCAGACCCATCACTGCCATGCCCCGAATCCGGCCCGCTTTCCACTGCAGCCAGGCAGCGCCAAGCGGCATTGTGACAATTTTGGCAGTTATGCAACATTGCCCAGCATCGAACAGCAGCTCCATCATGCGCCCAGCTATGGGAATGTGGCCTGCAGTCGACATTGTGCGACCTCCTCAATGCCGCCGCAACCGGAGCCGCCGCCACCGGCCTCCAGCCTGCGCTGGTATGCGCCGGGTAGTGCCAATCCCAATGCCAACCTGAATCCCAATCCCAATCCCAGTTTGAATGCCTGTTGTTATGTTTACAATCCGACGGCCCACTACGCTCCCGAGCACTGCGTTTGCGATAATTGGTATCACCAGCACCAGCACCAGCAGCAGCAGCAGCAGCACAGAGGCATCCCGCCGCCTCCTAAGCCACTTATGCCCAATGGCGGCTGCTACTTGGGTGAGTAATGAGCCTGCCCTGCAGTCCACTGCAATCCACTGAAGTGCGCGCTGTTTTCGATTTAATCAACTTTCAATTGTCCGTGCCGCAGGCTTTGACGCTGCCCACCATCCCAGCCACATCACCGACGAGGAGGACTCGGCGTTTCCTGCACTCGCCGATCGTGAGTTCCATTTGCTGCATCGCAACATCCCAGCGCTGCGTCGCACGGGTGTGGACACAACACGCATACGACAGGTAAGGCAGCCAGGACAGCAGCACGTCCAATTATCGCTCTAACTGCCTGTCAAAGCGAATAACTCTCGACTAACTGCATTTGCCGTGCACTACATTCACCGCAGTACTTTTACCCGGACGGCGGCTGGGGCTGGATCATCTGTGGCGTCTCCTTTCTGGTGCACATTCTCACCACGGGCCTCCAGCTCAGCTATGGCCTGTTGCTGTTCTATGCCGTGCAGCATTTGCATAACACAGGTGGAATAGGTAAGTCGAGTCAAGCACATGAAAGAGGTGAAAACCTTGACAGGCTCTATGTCAGATATTTCGAATTGCTTAAGTGAAACAGTTGAATGTAGAATGTTTTATAATTTAGTATATAGTTGACAAGCTATCTACTCTTAAAGTATTACAATAATATATATACTTTTATAAATTAATATAAAATACTATAAAACAAGTAAATAAATAAATTAATAAATTAGAGTATATATTACTTTTTATGTATTATAAAAAAAAATAATAATTATATTTTATATTTTTCGTTAAAAATAGTACAATTTTTTTATATACAATATATTTAAATAAATAATATTTTTTATATTTTTTTTTACCGACATTGTTAAATAACTACTTTGGTTTACTTTAGAAGTCAACGCTTTTTATGTTTTAAATCTCCGATTTTATGTAAATGTATGTATTTTATGTAAACTAATTAATTCTATTCTAACTTCACTTTCATCGTTTCATCATCGTTTTCGGCTAATGAAGTTCAGTTCTATAGAACATTTCAGGCATTGCTTGAGTTTAGTTTGTCGAAACTTCAGGCTACAATTTATTTAAAACTTTGTATTCACAATTCAAGCAACCTGAAACAATACCAAAGGGCACCTTTTGATATTGACCTCAATTTACTTGTGAATTTGAATTGATGATGAAGTTAGTCTACTTTCAACTTACCTTAGTCTTGTTTTCTAGTCTTGTTTTAAGTCTTGCTGACTTACTATAAACAATTAAACTCACAATTTAAGAGAGTTTTTATGGTACGAAAAGATGTGCCTTAGCAAACTTTTAATTTGATTGATTCCTTTGAGGCTGTCCATCCAGCTTTGATTCCAACAGGAAACAATAGGCTTAGTGAAATTTTAAATTTGTGAACTGGTATGAGCTTGGTATAGAAATAAATAAAATCAATTAATTTCATCTATATACAATTAACAAAATTCTTAATAATACCCAACATTAAGAAAAAAAAAAAATAAATAAATAATAATAAAAAATAAAATAAAACAAATAAATAAAAAAAATAAATAATAAAAATAAAACAGAAATATTTTATAAAATTGATACTCATAAAATACAATTATTATTAATTATTTAATATATCATGTTATTATTTACATATATTTCTTACTGAGTTCCATTAAAATATTCACCCTAATATAGAAATGCGCTAAATTTAATCTCAAATTGAAATTTTAAACCGTAACAGAAATCCAGAATTATTTACTAAAATTTTATTATTGTGTACCAGAAGTTCAAAAATTAATTAGCCTCTGAGAATTTGTATGTCTTCTATTTCATGTATTTATATACCCAAAAACGAAACAAAAATAATTATGAAATTCCTTTGCAGAGCTCTTGGGCGCTCTGAGCTGGTCCATCTCGATGCTGGCCATACCGTTTGTGGTCTCTCTGTGCCGGAAACGCTCCATACGTCTGCTCTCGATTGTGGGGGGCCTTGTGATGCCGCTGGGCATTCTGTTCACATCATTTGCCACGGAATTCGGTCAGGTTGTTTTTAGCTATGGTGCGTATATAAAGTCTATAAGTTATATATTTGTATGTCAGAGAGGGGGAAGAGTGGGGAATATACTTAAGCTGTATGCCGGAAGTGCTGCTCACCATTTGGGTTTGCTTGGCAGGCATCGTCTTTGGCATCGGCGTTTCCATGGTGCGTGAAGCCTCCACCGTGATGCTGGGCAATTACTTTAAGCGTCGCCGGCAATTCGTCGAAATGGTGGCCATGTCCGGCGAGGGCGTTGGCATCGCTTTGTTCTCCGTCATCCTGAAGGAGGGCGTGGGCAAGGCCGGCTGGCGCCTGGGACTGCAAATCGTTGCCGCACTCACGGCGCTCAGCTTTTTCATGGGCCTCATGTATCGACCGGCCTCCCTATACCATCCGCAACGCCGTGCCATTCAACATCTCAAAAATCAACGCAAAAAGGTGAGTAAAGAGAGAGAGAGAGAGAGAGAAAGAGAGAGAGAGAGAGAGAGAGAGAGAGAGAGAGAGAGAGAAAGAGAGCGAGAGCGAGCCATATGAAGCCCTATTGTTGTTGACTGTGACTTTTGTGTTTAGCTGCGCGAGAAGAAGCCCAAACTGACGCAGGAAGTGGAGTCACCCACTAAATACTTATTCCTGGACATATCATCATTGAAATCGGCGACAGTTAAGATCCTATTGATGACTTCCAGTGTGGCTGCCTTTGGCATCTATACGCCCATGTTCCTGATGGTGAGTGAAATTCAATTTCGTCTAACGCCAATTTTACAGCTTTCCTTTTGTCCACTAGGCCCTCAATGCTGCCAAGGAGGGCTCCGATGTACAGGAGCTGGTGCTGCTGCAAACCTTTCTGGGCATCTCCATGGCTCTGGGCGTTGTGCTGGCCGGCGCTCTGCTGCGGCGCTGCTTTGTCATACGACAATTTGTGATCAATACAAAAATTGTTGCGCAGGTAAGTCATGAAGAGTTTTTGATTTTGATATTCTTGATATGTCGTTGTGCTTGTGAATAGCTACAGATTTGGCCATATAAGTTATATATATATTCCTATATTTATATATTGAACAACTGCTAATAAAGTGCCTGATTGATTAAGTGAACAAAAAATATCTTCAAAGCGAATTTGATTCAATTATTTAACGATTGGTAATGACTGACTAATATATCAGAATATAGCTAACATATATATAATATATAATATAATATATATGCCAACTTAAGAGAGAAAGATTCAGCCACTATAAAATATTGCTGTTTGGGTGGTTATTTAATTACCTAATTGATTGACATCAGCAAATTCGAAAATAAATAAAACTGAATCCTAATTAATAATACATATTAAAAAAATTATTTGGATTGATAGATTAATATGCTACCAAAGACATTTAAAGTCAACTTGGCAGAAAAGTTCAGATTATATGAATAGACTAAAGTGGCTAAATTGATTGATTGATTGATTGACTGACGGCGAAACATATGTTATATATGTCGAATAGAAAAAGGTATTTATTTAGCATGATTGATTGATTGATTGACAGCGAAACATACTAGCGATATGATTTCAAATAGACAAATAGAGTTTATTTATCCTGGTTGATTGACTGACCGATAAACACATTTGGTAACCGTTATGTTTGTCAAAATGAAAACCAAGCATACAAAAATTGAGTGCAGAGCTTAATTTATGGGACCAATTGATTGATTAAGTGTATTATTGATTAAGTGTATGTTTGCATGATAAGCACATTTGAGAACTTTTGAAATTGAAATAAAACAGCTTTTTCGTCTATTGAAAATTAGTTAATTTATTTAAATTTACGTACCTACGTACCTACTTATTGACTGCAAAACTACAAATTGAAACTAAGCCAAACCACGCGAACGTGGCTAACTAATTGCCATATTAAAATATAAATTATTTTACATTTTAAAATCCGTAACTTCGCTAATATGACTTTGCGGGTGGGCAATGCTGGAAAGCTGAAATATTTATTAACATACAGAGCTGGTGGGCATCCAATCTAGATGCCCATATCTAAGTTGAAAACTTAATTAAATTCAACTCTTTCGTTCCATTTGCAGCTGTTTATATCCATTGTGGCGCTGGCCATACTATTCCTATCCTTTGTCATGGGCTACAAAGGACTCTGCATACTCAGCTGGCTGTACGGCATCGGGCTGGGTGGCTTTCAGTACTCGCTGAAGATTTTGGCACTGGAGCGCATCAAGCTGAAGCACTTCTCAAAGGCCTGGGGTAGGTGTTCACCCTTGCCCCTACGGCTCTCAATCGGATTTAATGTCTCGCTTAACTTCTGCTTTGCAGGCTTCATACGGGGCGTCGAGTCGGTGCCCGTGCTGATTAGTGTGCCCCTCACCTCGTTTCTGAATGACTATTCGCTGAAGTATGGACGAGCTGGCTATTATATATGCTCTGCGGCGGCTGCTATCTCGGGCATCATCATCTTCTTCATTAGCGAGTCGCAGGACCAGCAGCATCAGCAGCGCGGCAATCTCAATGGGCATCGGCCGACGCCGATGCTGATGCGGCACTCCTCGGCGCGCCACCATCGGCCGAACCTGCACTTGGATTATGGCTATGGCGAATATCCCGCTCCCGATTTGCTCAGCCGTAGCTGCATTAGTTTGAATCAAATGGAGCCTTATCTGCAGGCCAGCAATCCCCACTATTGTCAACGTCACATGCTGCAACAGCCGCTTGCCACGCCCACGCCCACGCCACATCATCATCATCTGCCTGTCCAGCATATGCATTCGCATTTACATCAGCATCCCCATCCCCATCCGCATCCGCATCCGCATCAGCACTCACACCAGCATCCACAGCCGCATTCACATCCGCATCCGCATCCACATCCGCATCCTCATCCCCAGCAGCTGGGCTGCCACAATCTGGACATGCAACCGGCCCGCCTGCCCTATCAGCTGGGCCAGGGCAGCATCGGCGCCAAGATGGGCAAGCGACTGCAGCGCAGCCTCTCCTTCATCCAGCAGCACAACTGCTGCGACGGCCAGATGTACTGTAGCTGGCACAGCACCTACGAGCTCGGCTGTCGCAGGTCGCCCAAGTAAGTAAGATCGATGCACTTGATATCTGGCGAGCAAGAGCTGCTTGTACCTAATTAGTGTTTACGGCTAAAGGCTGGCTTTGCTAAAGCCAGTATTAGTGCTAAATTAGATAAGCCAATCAAGCTATTTTACAGCGGGACTCTAATCAAAGTTGTACAGACAGATAGTTTGATTCTTTTTCGTATATTTAATTTGAGAATAAACATATTAAAGCTAACCTCCATATATATTAGCGGTATATCAATGCTAGATTCGCTTAGCAAATCTCCACTTGTAATTCCCATACCTCAGATTGATTTTTGAGAGTTCATTAGTAAAGCATGAGTTTGACAGCACCTTGCTTCACTGAAAGCAAACCTTTTTCTTTTCGTTTCTATCATCAATTTACAGCATGAAATGTAAAAAAAGGAACGTCCATCCTTCACTTGCTGGCATCAGAATGTTTCTTGCTTACAAATTGCAGTGGCGTTATCCTTACAGTTTAGTTTGTATGCTTAACAGATCTGAAATAAGTCAATTAGTTGGTCAGTCAGTCAGTTAATTAGTGAACCATGCTTACGTCAATCAGTCAGTAAATCATTCAACCAGTTAGGCAATCAATTAGTCAGTAAATCATTTAGTCAATTAGACGACTTATCACTTGGCGTGTCAGTCAATCAGACATACAGCGAGTAAGCGAATGAGTCAATCACAAGCTGAATGAAACAGTAAATCAGTCAAAACTTATATGTCAATACCATTATGCAAATCAGTCAATCAATTGACGAGTCAATCAATTAATCAAATATTATACAATCAGCCTTTAAATGACTTACTTTAGTCGTCAGTCAATCAGTCAATTATTTAATTAAAATAATTGTGTGTGCCAGTTTTTAAAAGCAGTCAATCAATAAAAATCAACTTAAGCAAAATAACATGCATATTCAGTCAATCTAACACAAATTCATTCAGGCATTTAGTCATTCAGTCATTGATTAATCAATTATTACTTCAATCAGCATTTTATTGCTGACTCAGATAGTCAATCAATCTTTGATTGAGCATGCCGTTTCAAAAGTTTCTCAGTTAGTCACTCAATTAATCATCAATCTCTTTACAAGTCGATTTGAGTCTTACAATCAATCATTAGTTCAATCAAAAGTCATCAGTCAACGAGGCTATAAGATATTTAATATTATGAGGTTAATCAATCAATCATTAACTAAAACTGAAATAATCAAAAGCGGACCCAAGTAGTCTGTATATCAGTCAATCATTGATTGAAAGACTCGAAGCTTAATAGATATAAATGCTACAAGAATATTTATTAATATTTTATATTTTTAAGCAAATGTAATATTTCTTAAGCAAGAATTTCCCACAGAATTTATTAAATGGGTAAATGAACTTCTGATAATAATACTCGAATATTTGAATGATTACTTGAATGAACGAATCTGTATGCCATGCTGACTGTATGCACTTGACGGCAATCGAGGCTGAGTGCTTGCATTCGGCCTGATTAGGTTTTTCGGTAATGTGCAATGGGTGGGCGGCATGGATTGGCTAGTTAACGGGTAACTGACGTTCAATTATCCAAACTACTGACGCGCTGGTGGCAAATGCCGTGAAGCCTTCGAAAGGCAATGGTAGTTGTTCGGCTTCGTGTCGGCGTCAACAAAATGTCAACAACATCATTGCACTTGCACTTGCGCTATTTATGCAGCTGAAGCAGCTCTCTAGAGTGTCTCCCCATCTCACTCGCTCACCCCCTCTCTCTCTCTCTCTCTGACTGTCGACGTGTTTATTTGCAGATCTCAGGACAGGCAGCCACTCATATGTACTTGCAGCCCCAGCTCGACCACGTATGGAGGAGGCGGCGGGGGCGGCGGCGGCAGTTCGGCACGCAGTCGCAGCGTGCCAGAGGGCCTATCGACCATGTCGCAGCAGTGTAACTGCCGTCATGGGGCCGGCCTGGCAGCTGGGGCTGGGCCATCCCGTGAGTTTATCTACGTGCCGCACGCCTACGCCTCATTGCAGCGAACGCCACATCGACAGAGTCGCCATGCCGGAACAGGAGCCGGAGCAGGAGCAGGAGCAGGAGCAGGAGCTGGCAGCAGCTGTCAGGCATCCAGAAGCAATCCGCAATGCCGGCTGAAGCGTTCCCAATCGCTAAGTCGTCCCGTTCATTTCGTAGAGCAAATCACCACCTCCGTCTAGGGGCGGGCGGGCAGACTTAGAGTTATTTTGTAGTGTACTCCAGTTACGTGAATCGAATTCCGAATTGTCACTTCTTTCTAGTCTTTTGTCGTAGTTAGTAGCACGTGCTAAAATCCAAGTCGAAAAATCCCACAAAGAAAAAAAAAAATTAAAAAACACAAACAACAAAAAACAAAATAAAAATCGCAACTTGATGAATTTTCTAAAAACTCTAAACCTATTATGATATACAATACTATTCTGTGCGGTTTCAGCGCATTGAATTTGTCGATTTCTAAAACATAAACTAAGATTAATAAAACTCACACAAACGCTCTCACATTCACACACTCATACTGTTAGCAGACGAAAAGCTTTATCATTGTCTCAATACAAAAGTATTTAAATGAACTTTGCTACCAGGCAAAATATTATCATAACAAAAGAAAACGCAACAAAGAACAAACAACAGAAGAATAAAATAAAAATCGAAAGATAAATATTAACGAACGAATAAACAAAGAGGCCAAACACCAGAGCGGGTCGAACACATATTAAATGGTCCATTTTAATACAAGCATACAAATTATCCACCGATACCAATACGAAATATACTCGAGTCGTGCCAATTATACGGGCGACGGCACACTTTCAGTACTTTATTTTTAAATTGAATATTTCATATATGCATACATATTTATATATGCATATGTATATGTAGTTGGCCGCGTGCGAAAATACTCGAAGCACTTTTGCCAATTTTACCATTCGTTGTGGGATTGAGCCTTATTTTAAAGCGCATACTAAGATAATACAGTGATATCAATAATATCACATTGATGTCATCATTTTAACTCCAAGCAGCAAGGTAACTAATTAAAAGCCAACTTAATCGTAAAAGGGACATATGTGCAAATACTTAAACAGAATTGAGTTAAGACAAGGAGCGAACCGAAATTAAATTTGAATTGTAAATTCAACAATTAAATCAGGCGCAAATTCAATTATATTCGACATAAACTAAGCCTTTAATTCATTAAATTAATGAATGAACTAAAAATACAATTGAAATATCTACGGTATACCGAAGATCGTATACCCTTGCAGACAAGTTGAGAAATCTTTGTTATGGGTTGAGAGAAATTTAATATGGATTTAATGTAGTTGAAATAGTTGATAAGAATGATTGTCTGTTAAGGAACGTAACATAGACAATATTTGTCTATCCTAATTTTCCAATTTTATTTAGATAACTTCAGAAAAAAAAAAATTGAGTTAAGCCTTTTCATTTTCTTTGAGCCATTATGATATACAAGTTTAAGGTTTCTCATTTATGTTTGCTTATATCTATGTTAAATTAATCAACAGTAAATTTAGATTACTTTTGGCAGTGACCGACGAGAAATGATTCTAAACTCAATTACTAACCATCTAATACTTGTTGCATCTAATACTTTTCCGCTCTCCACTGTCATTTGCTGCGGAAATAAAGTTCTCAAACCACGAAAGTTGATTTAAGTAAGACCAAAGTTTTGCCACACTAAATGACTTTTCCAATATGAGCACGCATCGAAGCGGAAGCTGAAAAGTGATTTCTGGATTTGCGTAAACAAATTTTCAAAAGACTTATGACTTATGCTCGTTGAGGAGAGGGATAGGCCAAAACTTAAAGCTATATGCACTCCATGATAATCAAAACTAAATGATTGCTTAAATAAACAAATCTAATAACACATGTCAGATTAGGTAAGCAAGAATCACGCCTAAGCTAAACCATCTTAATTTCAAAAAGTTCTCCAAAAGTAAAAAAAAAAAAATAAAATAAATTCCGTTCCTTCACTAAAAACATAAATTAAAATTTCAAATAAATCATATTATGTGCCAATAATAGCATTAGTAAAATATTATGAATATATTCTCATATTATACTTATATTATAGGACTTCTAATCCCAATGAAAATGGGAAATCGGGGTATTATTGTTTTCGTTTACTTTTAGATTCTAGATCCAACATATATACGAAACCATTAATGAAATTTAATTTTATCTCAGAATTTTTTACAGGCTATGTTAGCTCAAATATACTAAATTTTTAACAAATTCAGTTAACATTTCAATTAAAGTAATTAGACCATAGGTGAAATAAATAGAAATGCCAGCTGAATTATGAATGAACCAACTACCGCATTCCACTCAAATTCTATTCAAATATGTTAAATTGTTGGCTAATTTGCACTTGTCACTTTGCCATCAACAAAACATTGTAAAACAATTTCGCTCCCGTTATGCGTCAACACCTGTCCTATCGCAGTGATATATTGTAGCTCAGCACAGGGGGGACAGTATTTAATGCGGGCTTGGTAATTTATTGATAGATATATGACACAGTCTGCAGGGGTATCCATAATACGCAAAATTTGCCTTGAGCAACACCAACAAACTGCCAAAATATGCAATAAAAAATACTATAAAATAAATGTCAAAAACGGACAAACTAAAATTTTCGATGTCATAAAAACAAAACGCGTAATTACATATAAAACTCAAAAAAAAAAAAAAAGACTTTTCATTTTCTTTTGGTGCAACGCAATTCGCGCCATTTGTGTTCAGTGCAAAAAGTTTGCATAAATTTAACATAAATTATTTACACACACACAAACACTCACACTCACATACACACACACATACACTAACACACGCACTCAAACATAATTCATGCATATCTAAATGCGCCAATCTACGCTCGAAACAAAATACTATTTCAATTTGTCAAAAAAAAAACTAAAAGTAAATTAAAAAGAAAATAAAACTATTTAACTTAAGGTAAAATTGTAGTTAAAAACACAAATAAATTAATGTTTATTACATTAGATATGCAAATTTTTGAACTAGGCGCCGTTGCGAGATCTTCTCGTTGGCTACTCATAAAACTTGTACTTTAATAATTGAACTTGTAACTCTTTATCATTGGTAGCTTAGTGATAAATGTTAAAATAAAGCAAATAGAAAATCGTAAATCGCAAAGCCTCTAATTCTGGGTCTCAGCTGCAAATTGAATGAGCCGCCGCAGGAGTGGAAATTAAATTCACAGCTCGGGGTTAGCCACGGATCGCCCAGGGCCTTTGGGCGGAGTCAAAAACCGCAATAAACTTTTATTTATTACGTGCTAAAAATTAATAAAATCCTAGACCCGAAAAGGTTCACGCAAATGTCATATTTTATTTATTAATTAATGGCATTAACATAAAGCGTCAATTTGTGCGAGCGAAAATACACGCCTACACACACGCCCACACACACACGACTCTAATGCCAGGCGATTAAAAACTTTGACCCCAAAGCGAAGTTGAAGTCAGGCTCCATTTCCGTTTTATAATATGTACATATAGCCCGCAGCAACGTTATGGAACGTGCCTAGACTACAAAACAGTCGACAACAACAACAGCAATCGAGACAGGAACAGCAACAACAGCAACAATAACAATGGGCGACGGCGTCAATGACATGCTCAATTTTTCATGCATTATGCTGGCGCACTGTGCGTATGCTTAATATTTGCCTGATATTGACTTGGACACAAAGCACAGTTAAGCTCGGCAATATTTGCGCCGTTAACTGAGGCAGGCCAACAGCGCTGAGCAGGCACCACGGGCAGGCAGCCCGTCGAGAAGACCTCGACAGTGAAGCCGTAAAGCCAGCCCAAAATGCTGAAGACAATTTGTGCCGCCAGCCAGAGAATTTATATAAATGTCTTACGACTCATACAACTATGCCAAATATGTGTGTGCCATAAATACAAACAGCTGAAAAGGTAACTGTATTGTAGGTCTATCTGTGTGCGTGTGTGTGTGTGTTTTGCGTGTTGGCTCGAGTCCCAATTCAGAGCATTTCCCTTTAATTATTCAGTTTGTAGCTGCAAAACTCTCACGTCGATTGAGATCAGTATAGAAAATTTATAAATGACATTTTAAATTACAATTTCGATTTGAGTGTAAATTTGTAATCAATTAAAGCTAAGTAAAATATGTGCTAGACGAAGGAGCAATGGGTCAGGTAAATGTGCGATGTGCTTTTTAAGGGAGAGAGGAAGGGAGAAAGAGAGAGAGATTGGAGAGAGGGCATAAAGATAAAAGTTTTCAGAGCACTTTAGTTGAAATAGGGAATTGAGATTTCATCGAGTGACTGAGTTGTATGAGTGACTAATGGAACTAAATTGTAGATCAAACATACATATATGAAGACAGCACTTAATAAAGTATTCGGCAGGACTTTCTCATTTTTATAAATGACATTTTATTTATAATTGGCATTTGTAAATGCTTCTTGCTATTCTACATAATCAGGCTAGAAAGATGGAGGAATGTATTTTACATAGGCATAAGAAAAAAATTATTTAAGATATAAATTATATATATAAATATAAATAATATATATAAAAAAAAAAAAAAAAAAAAAATCTTCCAAATCTCACAGAATATAATATATGTAGATGAAGATGTATATATGTATGTATAAATTAATATTAATTCAAATAAATTGAGAGCAAGGCTTCGCTGTCAGTCAATTAATTAGGCTCGAAAAGAAGTTGAATGAATGGGTTAATCAAGTCAAATGATAAGGATTGAGTGGGCAACACGTTGAACAAGAAGCAGAAGCCAAAGTAGAAGAAGAAGTTCCATGTGGCAAAAATGATATAATGCCTGAGGGAATATGAACGGATATGGCATGTCGGTCCGCTGTCAAGGGTCGCGTTAAGACGCTTCAAGAGCACAACAAAAGAAACTTCGAGTTGGGAAGTTTTTCATTAAGTAGAAAGAAAATACATGTTGCCGATACGCGAAAGAGCATAAAAGGCTCGTCGTTGATTCAAATCGAACTTTTGTTCAGCTTCCGCCCGTTTGAATTCACGGGGGTTGGCAATGGCAATGGCAACGGCAACGGCAACGGCAACAGCAATGGCAACAGCAATGGCAACAGTAGCAACAGCAGCAACAGCAGCGACAGCAGCGAAGACCGCGTGCGAAAACAGACGCACGCCAAAGTCAACTTCACGCCGTATTGTCGTCAATTTTTTTCGGTCGGCAGCTGACAGCCGAAAGCCTAGCCGTGCTCTGGCCAACTGTCTGTGCTGTGACTTTGTTGACACAGCAGCAGCAGCAGCAGCAGCAGCCGTAGTAGCAGCAGCAATGGCAGCACGAGTAGCGGCAGCAGACGCCGTCGCTGTAAGCAGCGACGCGGCGCCTCTGCTGCCATGCCATGCGCACACGCACACGCTCTGTTGCCTACTTCCAGGCGCCGTTCATTGTTGCGCTTTTACTGCCGCCAGTAGCTGTTGCCCTCCCCCTTGGCCAACACCTCCTACCGCCCGCCACCGTCGACAGAGTCTGAACTCGAATGGTGTCGTAAACATCTGTTTTGTGTTTGTCTTTTGCTTCCAGGCACGCGCGCTCTCCCAACACATTCGCTCTCTTGTTTGCGCGCTCTCTCTGCCTCTCTTTCTTTCTCCTGCTCTCCTGCCGTTGACAGTATCCTGTTAGGCTGGCACTCTGTGGCACTCTGGCATCGCATCAGTTCCAGCATCAACGCCACGGCGCACGGAGCCAGCGATTCTCGTTTCGCGGCACACTCAGCAGCAGCAGTAGAAGCCCCAGCAGCAGGAGCAGCAGCAGGAGTAGCAGCCAGACAGCCAGTGTAACGCACACACACACGTCGCACGCAGAGGCGAAGGCCCGAAAGTGATTTTTGTGGCAAGCCATTTTCTAAATTTGCCAAACAGACAATTAAAAAGGCATTAGGCCAGCATGAGGCTGCCACGCGTTGGCCAACAATTAGCAGCAACACTCGACGACGGCGAGCCAAACACACGCACAACTCTCACACGTAATCAAAAGTGATTTCTCTCCGTGTGCTTTTGCTCTGCGTGCGAATATCGATTGCTGTCGCCTTGCATAAGTCCAGAGTCTGGGATATACAAAGCCAGGGTATACAGCGAAATAACAGCGAAAATAACACCCTATAATAGAGCAGCAACAACAACAACAACAACAGCAACAGCAATAACAACAATAGAAAAGCGTTGCTGCTGCAACGCCCAATGCACAAGCACAACGAACGCAGTCGAAGGAAATCAAGTTTTAATTATTCATATTGAACACAGCAGCAAGCGGATAATCACGATAATGATCAGCATCGTGATGATGAGGATGATGATGATGATGTTGCAGCACCTCCAGCAGCATCAGCAGCAGCACCACCAACTGAAGCAGCTCCAAATGCAGACAAAGTGAATATCCAACAATCGACAGCAACAACAACAGCAATAACAACAACGAAAAGTTTATATATAGCCTTAGCTGACTTGGAGTTGAAGGTGTGCGCGCGTGTGTGTGTGTGTGCGTGCGCGTGTATATGTGCGCGCGTGTGTGTGTGTGTGCTTGCTAACATTTATTTTTGGGGCCAAAATGGATATCGCCCTGCGTGGCACAGCAGCAGCAGCAACTGCCACTGGCTCGGCCACAGGCACTGGTAAGTCCTTGAGAGTCACTGAACTGACTGAACATATAAACATGTCAGCTGGGAGACAGCTACAAACAGTTTCACACACACAAACACACACACACACATACACAATTACACTCTCCCTGTTATTGTGATTCATTTGTCTAAGCTGAAATGGAAACAAACGCAGCTATTCACCAACAATTCATTTTGCAGGTTTACATCATGCTGTCTCATTGGGCAACATTGAGGTCTCCACCAAGGTTGGTAGCACTAGCAATGAGACACTGAGCGAAACGGGTGTGAGTAAGAGATAACGACTAAAGTCTACTACAGGAAGTGACCAGATTATGGTGGCGCATTGTATAGAGAATTTTTTTTTTTTTTTTATATATACGGGTATATTAGAATTAAGGCTTAAGTGGAATGTGAAATGGCTTAAAGTTATATTCCGAATAAAGCTTAAACAATTTATATTAGGTTAAGCATTTATTTTTATCATTATATATTTTTGTATATATGTATATGTAGTATATATAGTGTTATAGTCTTTATATATATTTATTATATATATTTACATATTGAATATTTCAAAGTGTTTTAAATATTACGTATACGTGCGGTAAGCCCAAACATTTAAATTTGTTGTATAAGTAACCGAACGAATACAGTTTTATGTTAACTTGCATATGAAAAGAACCTTTTCCTTTCAATCTTCTTGATTTATTATATTATTATTTAACACAAATTTATTTTAGCAAAAGTTAATAGAACATATTCTCACACTTTCTAAGTTTAGTTTCATAATTTAAGTTAAACGCTCATAATGTAATAATCTCTGATCCCTATCAGGCCACCTATTCCAGCCACATGGATCGCAGCTACGACTCTGAGGACGAGCACACGAGTCGTCGACGTCTGCGTCAAACACTCTCCACCGAATTGCAGCCTCGCACCTCCGTCTATTCGCGGGGCGACATAAGAGAACAGGTGAGACAGTCGCAGCTTGTATTTAATATAGTTAATAATTAACCCCTCTCTCTCTCTCTCTCTCTCTCTCTTTCTCTCTCTTTTTCTCTTTATAGTACTGCCTAACCGATCGCCAGCTGCATAGCATTGAGCAGCGGCCGCGCAGAGAGCGTTTCTTTGGCTGCCTCTCGCGCCGTGGCCAGACCCAGGCGAGCAGCTTCCTGGGCGGCTGTGTGGGCCGGCGTGTGCCCTCCGACGAGAATCTGGCTGCCTATGCGCCCTTCGAGAAGTATCCGCGGTGAGTTTGAGTCGTGGATGAAATCTCTCCCTTATCAACTTCGTGTTTCTCTCGCAGCTATCAGAACAGCTATACGGACACGCACGAATTGGATAGTTCCTATTTTCGCCGTCAACCGGCATCGATCTTGAGCTCTGGTAAGTCCAGTGAGCCGGACCTGGGCGGTCGCTACAACTGGATTGGTCAGTCGGCGCAGATGAACAACAACGGCGACTATCAAACGGATTCGAGGTACGAGTTTAACAGAGAAACGTACCAGTCGTACGAACTCCCAGCCAAAAACCATATAACCGTAAAATGCTATGTCAAACTGTCGCTAGAGATCATGCTTAACTTAACTGTCGCACTATCTGTAGTATTGCTCGCTCGCTCTCTCTTTCTCTCTCGCTCGCTCTCGCTCTTTAACCTATCTTTACACACTATGTAAAACGCTTGCAATGCTTGCTCTAAAACTATTCCCATGCAACAACAACTACAACAGCAACAACTATTTCAATAACAACAACAACAACAACAGTTTGCATATCAAATTTGCATAATGCCAAGAAAAAACGCTTTTTGCTTTCCAAGTTCTATCGCTTTCTGTAAACCCCACTGAAATATCTCTGCAACTGCGAATCTCCCTCAAATCGAAATCAAACGAAGCTGTAAAATATATTTCCTATGTACTTTTCGTTATTCATTCACCTTCCCCACTTCTCTCTAAACCAAAATACAAAACCAAAAACCAAAAAAAAAAAAAAAAAAAAAAAAAAAAAAATAAACCGACTAAAATCCAATCAAACAATTGAAACCAATCCAATAACTAAATGAACAAAATGTGTAAAAAGGGCAACTTGTTGTACAGCACCACTTGAATCCTTTTACCAGGATGTTTTGCTACGGAATTATTATGTCGAGCTTTGCGCTCCACCACATCCTACACCACCAACATCACACACCAATCAAATCGCTAATGTAAATGTTTGGTATGTAAAGTGATAAACGAAAACTAAACTTAAAATCTAAAATTTAATTACAATTACAATTACAACTTAAGAGAAACGTTTAAAAAGTGCGCTAATTTAAATAAATATATTTAATTACATAGATATAAATATATTTTTATTTTTGTTTATTTATTTATATTTTGATTAAACGCTATGTGTCTGCACGTGACTAATGAACAAAAAGAAGAAGCAGAAGAAGAAGAAGCGAGCAATGTTTGTTATATGCCCCACTGACCGAGTCCCATGTGTTTGCTAATAGTTCTCTTGGTCTATGTTTTGCTCCACAGCTCGTATCACTGCCCCACATACGCCACAATGCCGATGCCGCACCAACAGCAGCAGCAGCCACAGCAGCAGCACCACCAGCAACAGTCTGGCCATCCCAGGTGAGTAGCAGGAGCCGGCAATGTCAACTATTTACGATTTCTATTTGATTTAAATATTTTATTAGACATTAATTGTAAATAAATCAATATTTGATTATTATTTGTTTTATATTTTATTTTAAATCAATTTTTATTTATTTTCAACTTTATATATGAACTTGGACTTGGACAAAATAAAATTTAAAATTTCGTCAAATAGAATTTACTTAATTCATAGTCTCTCTCCATAATGCATCAACTCCCTAAATCTCACTCATAATTTATGCCATATTATTATGTATATTATTATTAATTCTAAATATTAACTTGAGTAATTCGAAATTTCCCCAAATGTCATCTACATGACCAATCTCTGATCCCCTCTAAATCTCTCACACAGAACGAAACACGTGAGTTTTGCTCGATCTCATACCTTGACCAGCTTTGATGCTGTCAATGCGGGCTTTCGCAGCTCGGGCCGCTTGAAAAGCGCACGCAGTCAGGAGCGATTGATTGGGGGCAAGAAGCCCATCATTGCCACGGGCTCCATGTATGAGACTTTACAGCCCATGCTCGCGCATCAACCACAGCCACAGCCACAGCCACAACAACAACAACAACCACAGCAGCAAAGCTCAAGTCTGCCCAAAACTTGGCTACCAGCTCAAGTGCAACTGAAGCCATGTCAGCACCACCATGCACCCATTCACCTGCATCAGCAGCTGCCAGGTGAGTTTGATTCAAGTCGGTTTAGCTGAACTTTACTAATCAGCAGTCGTGCAACGAACCCCTAGACAACATGCTGGGTCTGATTATACCACAGCCACTGCCAGTGGCGCTGCCACCGCCCAGTCCCGAGGTTCTCATTGTGGAGAAAAAGTTTCGCAATGCCATGAAAACGCAAGCGACGCAGACCGACGTGGCAGCCCGTCGCGAGGGTCTCTCCAACTCGCAGACCCTGCCCTTCAGTCCGCGTGCGCCGCATCGCATCAAGGTCATGTCCCAGGGCGCCCAGACCAACGGCCTGCAGAATGGCAAGAAGCTGACCAAAAGCCTGTCGGAGATACCCAATGGCAAGGATCTGATGCATCAGCACCATCAGGGGTAAGTGGGGGCAGTCAAATGCCTAGAAGGACGAAATGCCCATTAAAAAGGGCAGGTGACAAATTGTTGGCATGCATTTATCAGGCATAAGGAGGCGTGGCACTACCCATCAAGCTGAATCAATTTATCCCTATTGGGCCATCCGTTCTCCTGTCCATTCGCTTTGATCTCAAAACCTTGACGATTATATTCCTGTGTTATTTATAGTGTATTAATTATAGTAGTAGATTTTTCACATTTTTTATTGAGTTGGGTTATTTTGGTTAATTCGTTTTTTATATATTCTATCTGTTTTTAATTATTAAAACAAAACCAAAATTATTTGTTTGTATATTTTTTAAAATCTTTCTTATTACTTTTACATTTTTTTAATATATTTTATTTATATTTATTTTGTTTGTATTTATTTTGTATATCTTTATATATTTTTTATTTATTTATTTTTTTTTATTATTTATTTTATTATTTTCCATTAATATATTTTCTTGTTCATAATTATTTCGGTACAGAGTCACAGTCAGGCACCCCGACAAAACTTTTCCTAATTGTTATATATTTTGCTTTATTCTCCCGCTTAGCTCCGCCTATCCGCACGAATTGATATATCGCACCCAGTCGCAGGATGTGGTGCCGCTGCAAACGCTCTCCGATGCCCAGAATAACATAATGTACTACAAGCCGCCGCCGCCGTTGCTGGATGCGCACAGCTACGGCCTGGGCATGGAGCACTTGAGTCGCGGCCGTGGCGAGCAGAACGTGGAGTATGTGAACGTGAATGCCGCCGCGATGGCGCTGAACGAGAGCTTCGACTACGAGAGCAACAGCTTGCCGAGGCGCGCCTGCACGTCGCACGCTCGCACCGAGACGGATTACTACTCGAACAGCTTGCCCAGGCACGCGGATGCGCTGCACAGCCATGATGTGTGCAAGCACATCACGGAGTGCGCCGAGCTGATGACGGACAGCGTTCCGCTGGACTTCACGCGGCCCCATCTACTGCCGCCGCCCAGCGAGTACTGCAAGAACGACGACGAGCCGGCGGAGGAGTTCTACGACGACGAGGAGGAGGAGGAGGATGTGCGGGCGCCTGAGACGGAGAGCTACAGCTCCGAGGTGTGCATGGAGCAGGTGTTGGCCGCCGCCCAACAGCGGCGCATGTCCATGCTGCCCATGGAGGAGTCGCCCTTCCGGCGGGACGACATCCGGCGCCAATCGATGCCCGTCTACGGGCAAACGGAGAAGCTGATCGATGGCTTCGGGCCGCGCAGCTCGTTCCGGCATCGCGATAAGGTCAGCTGCTTTCCGGACGCGCCATCGCCGCGGGACGAGCAGGAAATCTTCATAGACTTCAAGCCGCACGTTTCGCCCAAGCCGAGTCCCAAGCAGCAGCTGAAGCATCGCAAGCAGCACAAGGCGGAGATCGCCATGCGCAAGATGCAGCAGCAGCGGCTGGCACAGGCGGCCGCCCTGACGCTGCCCAAGCTGAAGCAGCAGCCAGCCGAGAAGGAGTCTAGAAAGTCTGAGATGGCACACAGCGACGAGGAGGAGGACGACGAAGAGGAGGAGGAGAATGAGGAGGAAGAGGAGGCAGACGGTGAACAGGCGCACCCCGAGCACGAGCCAGACTCCGAGCAGCATCAAGCAGACGACGACGAGCCGCTCTATGAGAACATAACTCCATGCAGCTGTAAGATGGAGCCAGCTGCTCCGGAAGTGCTGGACAAGCGCACCCAGTTCCGCAAGCGTTCGGTTAGCCTGGACGACGATTATACGGCCGAGACAGCTGTCTGCCCAGCGCCAGGCCTCCGGCTGCCCTCCACTCCGGCCAGTCCTTGCCGCGACGAGCTGCTGCTGGCCAATGCCTCAACCTATCCATCCTCGGACTCGCTGGCCAACGACAACACGCGCGATCACTCCGACGGCATTTGGAACGAGTCGCAGGTAACCGTGCTGACTGCCGAGCAGCGGGACATTTCCGACGGCTCCTACAGCTCCAATCTGCTGTTGACGCCCTCATCGAAGCGCAAGAATCTGCTGCTGCAGCATCAGCAGCGCAGCTCCGTGGACACGGATGCGCTAGACCTCGAGGAACTGGTGAGACTCGACCTCGACTAGGTGTAGGGTATTAGCCTGCAGCCTGTATTTGCCTCACTCTTCTTTTTCTTAATATAGAGTCCCACCTATGGCCTCCAGACACTGCCCAAGATCATAAAAGCGCCCACGCCCACAACCACAAAGCCCGCCACAGCGCCCACTCAACCGATCATAATGCCCGCCATCGCGGTGACGCCCTCGGCCAGTCAGCTGTCGGACACGGCCAGCTCTCCTCTGCCCAAGCGCAGCATGGTCTCGCGCGGCTCCGTGCCCGATGCTCGCCAGCTGATGTACGTGACGGGAGTGCCCAAGCAGCGGTTGGTTCCGATCTCTGTCACCTGTTTGAGCAATTCCTTTTCTAAACTCCCCCTTTCGCCCATGCCTAGCCACTCGGACGCCTCGTTTCTGCCCTCTGGCGGGGATTACGCGCGCAGCGCTGACATTTCGGAGTGCAGCACGAATACAGATGAGTATGCCACCTGCACGGACACATCGAAACGTACTCCAGGTATTAAGACACCGCCGACAACGACTAGCTCATCGTCGACGACACAAGTGCCAGGTTTGGGGCTAAGCCAGTATTGTGTGTGTGTGTGTGTGTGTATGTGTGTGTTCATGTGTGTCTCTCTCTCTCTCTATGTCTCTGTGTGTGTGAAGTCCACATCCTCATCCGTAAACGCCTCTCATGCCTGTTGCCTTAGTACTACTATTACTACTACTACTCTCCAGCCTCTAGCCTCACATACAGCCTTATATACGCCTCTTAGCTCATCCACATCACAAAACTCTCTCTAGTTTGTTGTTGTTGCTTGTCGAACGCCTTGCCCGCAATGCTTTAGCTGTATTTCTAAAGATGAACCAATCGAGATACGTGCGATCTTAATCTCTCTCTCTCTCCCTCTCTCTCTCTTTCTCTGTTGTAGTATCCACTCAGAGTTCCCAGCTGGAGAAGACGCACGCCGGCAGCTCGTTCGAGAGTGCCAGCTCGCTCTACTCCATGCGCGAGGAGCTGCTGCAGCATGACGAGAGGCCTTCGGTGAAACCGACGCAGCTGAAGTCTCCCCTGGGCTCGGCGACTGAGCTGACCCGAAAGTCGCCCTCGCACTCGATCAGCAGCACCGCCTCGTCGGGCAGCTGCCAGGTGTCGGGTCAGGCCATCAAATCGCCGGCCAAGGAATGCGAGCCTCAGACCGTGAGCAGCGCGCCCAGCAGCCAGGTGAAGGTAAGCGCGGCGGAAATTGCGCCGCCACCGCCGCCGAAGCCCAAGCCCGAGTCCATATCGGAGGATGAGCGCAGCGAGGTGCGCTACTCCTCCTCCGGCTACTATGAGAGTCCGCACGAGGAGGACGACGAGGAGCAGGTGACGCCCAGCTGCAAGGCGCGACGCCAGCGGCAGGATGACGAGCGCAAGCGACGCAAGACCAGCATGAAGCTGGACATTGAGAAGGAGAACATGCGCGCTTTGACCAGCCCCATCAAGAAGCCCCAGAGCGCTGCCAAGGTGCAGTCGCCGGAGCAGCACAGCGCTGGCATTCTGGAGGGCGGCGGCAGTCCCAGCAAGATGAAACGTTTCCGTCCCAAGATACGACGACAGCTGCGCAAAAGCTCCAGGGAGGATGTACTGGCTGCGGCGGCTGCTCGACGCGCTCGTGCCACGCCCACTATGTATGGCCTGAGAAGCGTGAGCGGCGATACGGAGCTGCTGCTGGATGCGAGCATGACGAGCATTATGAAGGCAACAGGAGCACCAGCATCCGCAGCAGCAACAACAGCAACAGCTGCAGCAGCTACCACTGCAATCACAACCACAACCACATCCGCATCCTCCACGGGCACGGCCACGCTGCAGGAACAGTCGCCGCATCCCATCGCGCGCAAGCCACACAGCTGTGCCACGCCCACAGCGCTGCTATCGCCCAAACAGCCAACCGCAGCTCTGCCCGCCACCAAATCCGCCTCCGAGGCTGGCCAGCTGAAGGCAAAGTCCATCGAGTCACTGCGCTCCGTGTCGCCTGGCTCCGACTCGGTCTTCTACAGCGAGGCCGACGGCAATGCGGTCAGCGGGGAACAGGGCCATTGCCTGCACTGCGGCAAGGAGGTGGAGGGGAAGCAGCACACCAACACGGTCAGCGAGCTGGTGGGTGACTCGGTGGAGTCCATACCCTACATCGAGCAGGAGCCGGACATTGTGAAGCCACCCTCCGACTTTGCTGACTCGCCGGTGACCACAAAGACCACCCAGCGTCTCTACAAGAAAATGGACAAACGCTTTCGATCCGAGGAGCGCTACCATGGCGAACGCGGCAGGCACTACAAGACCCGGCAGGAGAATATACGAGCGAAGGTAAGCTGGAGAGCGAGTGAGAAGATGTGGAGTATATGAGTCTCAACCTTGCAGAGTGAAGAGCGCGGTCGGGCGCCTAGTTTGCCCAATACTCCGATACTACGACCCGCCGGCTCCAGTCCCTGCGTCCTGCCCGACATCAATACGGAACAGAGCCAGCATATTATCTATAAGGGGCACTACGATGCGGGTCGCTATACGCGCCTGACCGATGACGATCTCTGGACACAATTGGATCACCAGTGCTTCGGTGAGTTGCACCATTCCTTTACATCAATTCCAATTAATTCTGAATCCCATTTCATCTACAGATCGTTCCCGCGAGCGACGCGCTTCCACCGAATCGGAGAAGGGCTTCCATGCCAAGTACCAGGTGATCTTGCATCGCCTCGTTCAGCGCCGCTGCACACTCGAGATGTACCATCGCCAGAAGCACAACAATTTCCGTAAGTAGCCGGAGCACCCTGTATGCGTTTGCTATATTTGGCACAACGTGCGCGTTCAACGTCTAAAAAGAGCGACGAGAGAGCTATTCTTATGCTCTAACCAGGGGGTATTATAAATATAGCGGGTCACACATAACGCACGAACTCATCTGGAACTCATATTGTTGACTTACTTATTTGATCTCCGCTGAATATACTATGCAGATATCATAATGTCGCTTAAATGATCATTAACTAAATTGAGTGATTCTATTCAACATATACAAATTTATATCTCTGCTCGATCAGACCCTACCTAAGTAAGGGTATTCAAGTTTCGGTTTGTTTAGCAGACCTGCTGGTGGGTGTTTTCCCCGTGATAGTGGGTCGCCGGGGCTCTTCGCTGCTGCTGCTTTTCATGACCGGCAGTTGGCAGACAAAAAAAAAAAAATCATTAAAAAAGCGTAAAAAATAGTTTCGTATGTTTGATTCTGTTATCGAAAATAGTTGCGGTGCGTGCTTTGTTGTGTGCCGATGCGAGGCGTCGGAGCGCACCGTTTTCAGCGATCGGAGCTCGCGATTATCAAATGTGAAAAGTGCAAATTATTTGGGCAGCCGAAATCTCAGACTGTTTCCGAGTGTTCAAGGCGAGCGTCGATTGTCGATCGCTGATCGTCATTATTCAAAATACAAAGAGTTTTTATTTACACAATAATCAAAGCAAATGATTGGTGGGTAAACAAAGAATGAAAAAAAGCTGAAGATGAGCTCAAATCGTCTTTTCCAAATGCCACAGAACTAATAGCATCGAACTCGACGCCGGACTCGATACGGCGTAAGCTTGAGGAGGTCTTGAAGCTGATGCTCTTGGTATGGGCGCGGGAGAGTTTCGTCATAACAACGCTCAGCAACGGGGCGCACGGTAATGTGTCCGGAAATAAAACCACACAAATCATATCTAGCAGAGATATATATAAATGGGATTACGATATTTACGCACTGTCTACATCTATATAAATACATATACACATTTATATATGCTTATCTCTCTCGCAGGCGTGGACAAAACGGTTGTGGTCAAGAGCGATTCGGGTGAGTTTGGCTTTCGCATTCATGGCTCCAAGCCTGTGGTGGTGGCTGCCATCGAGCCAGAGACGCCGGCGGAGAGCTCCGGCCTAGAGGTTGGCGACATCATCATATCGGTCAACGGCGTTCAGGTGCTGGACAAACATCACACCGAGGTGGTCAAGATAGCGCACGATGGCTGCGAAAAGCTGGAGCTTCAAGTGGCGCGCACCATCGGCGTGCTCATGCACGAGCAGCTGGAGCCACCCAGCCAGCCCATCTTCAGTGGCTACCTGTGGCGCCAGAGCGGCCAGGCCAAAGGTGCGCCCAACGCCAAGAAGTGGGTGAGACGCTGGTTCTCGCTGCGCCCAGACAACTGTCTCTACTACTATAAAACCGAAGATGTAAGTACTTGAAATTATGAAAATTTAAGAAGTTGATCTTTGTAAGAGATTTGTGTTTCGAGCTAATTATTCAATCAATTACATAATTTATATTAAATGTTATAAAATGATATAATTTCTATATCACACAAATATAATTATAATTATGCCTAATTATACAACTTTAAAAAAAAAATTATATATATGTATATTAATTTTTTTATAAAGTATATTAGTTCTACTCTTAAATCATTTTTTTTTTTTTTTTTTTTGATTTAGTTTTATATATAGAAATTTTTATATTTCAATTCGTTTCATTTGTCTATATATTCCCGGACTTATGAATGAATGTACATATACAGATTTAATACATATTCATTTTTGTTGCTTTAATTTTGTTTTAAATTTATTTTTCATCCGATTCAGTATTTGTTTTTATCTTAAATATAAGGTATAGAAAAAGCACAAAATTTATATCAATGAAACAGTTTCATTCATGTCAACCATTGCCCTACCTATAAGTAGGGGAATATCCCATTCAATTCATTCAAAACAATCCCAATTGGATTTTTATTAAAACTGGGAAACAGTTAAAATCAGTCAAATCAAAAACTCATCTGTGGCCTTAAGTGAACTAGTTTATAAAAATTAAATCATATGCTATGTCAATTATAAACCGCTTTATATATTCTTCTTATAGGATTCTCAGCCCGTTGGCGCCATGATAATGGCCAAGCATACTGTGGACTTGTGCCCCCCGGACATAGGTAAGCCCTTCGCCTTCAAGGTGGACTCCGGCGAGGGTATACCCATGTATGTGGCTGCCGACTCAGAGGAATTGACCAACAGATGGTTGAATTTGCTGCGCCAAGCGGCCAATCAGGATAATCAGTGGCTGGACAAGAGGTAATTGATCACTCCTATCTCTGTCTCTCTTTCTCTTTCTGACTCTCTCCCACTCTTTATTTGTAGTGCTCGCTGCCTGTACCAGAGCCCGGGCAGCATTGTGCGACCCGATTGCTTTGGCTATTTGCTCAAATTGGGCTCAAGGTGGTGCGGCTGGTCGAAACGCTATTGTGTACTTAAGGATGCCTGTCTCTATTTTTATCAAGATGCAAATAGCAAGAGTGCATTCGGTGAGTCACCAAAATAAGAAAATGAAGTCTGCTCTATAATAGTCTACCTAGAACTATATATAGCTAAAAGATACCCTGCAAGCGAATAGAAATTTAGAACAATTCTTGATTCGCCTGAAAGTGAAAAGGATTAGATTCTAGAGAAGCAAGCAACTGAAAAATCTAATTTCTGAACGATTCGAAAAGCATTCTCTAGAATAGTATACTAATGAAAAAATAGTAGATCCCCACTAATATAGCATATAGATCAACAAATAAATATTATTTTAACTGTTCTGAGAAATTATTATAAAATTTATCAGTTTTAATTTTTGAAAAAAAAAAAAAATAATAATAACTCAACATTAAAAATGTATTTTAATAACCTTTAAGGAATAAATAGAAAAAGTGATATTATCTGGACATCCAATTAGAATTTCGTTTGCAAAAGAAAAGGTTTTCCCCCTTGCCACCATTATACCCTCACTCCTCTTGCTTGCACAGGGTATTTTAGGCAAATAGACAACTGACGCATGCAGCTAATTAATTAAATTTTGTGTATCAATTTGTGGTCTCGCCTAGGCATGGCCTGTTTGCATGGCTACAAAGTGGCCTCGATGTCAGCCAATGCGTCCGGCAAGAAGAACTCGTTCGAGATAATACCACCAGAGGCGAAATTGCGTCATTATTATTTCTGCACCGACAGCGAAATGGACAAGAAGCGGTAAGGCCTAGATATAATATATAAAATATAAATATGAAATAATAAATAATAATAAATAAATAATAAATTTCATTTATATATTTTTAGTTGGATATCCGCACTGGAATACTCCATAGATCGTTGGATCAAGTCCGGGTAACTAAGGATTAAGACACGCTCCCGTTCGGCGCTCAGCAGTCGACGCAAGCGTCGCAGTTTTAGCTACTACATGGATTAGCTAACGTCTGGGCGGGGCGGGTAGCAACATTAGTACGGGTACTAGGTACTACCAAAAACTAGCTCATAAGCACATACAAACACGATTTAGAAGAGGAAGAAGAACAAATTATATAGAAAATAGTCCAGAGTTTTTTATAGTTAGTAAGGACGAGGAATTAGTACAGTCAGGCGAACCGGGTTTAAAACTATTTTGAAGTGCGCATACCTGAAGGTGTGTATTCTTGTTATACATATTAGCTTATAGCCTATGTTTAGTGAGGTTGTCTTGTTATACACACACATAGAAACACATACACATACACATGCATATATAGCATATATAGTAAACTTAGATATTGTACAACAAAAAGAAGATTCATTAGGCTTAATTAAATTGAAATACTTACATAGGTATTCAAAGGCTCAACCATATATATATAGATACTTATATATATATATATATTGGATATCCATTTTAGACGGGTATCTTAGACAGTGAGATAATATTTACAAGATTGAAAGCAACAACTTTTGTCAAAAGTAAAGACGAAACTAAAAAAATATTATAAAAATTCATGACCAATTTCAGAATCATCCTATAATAGTAAATTTATCATAAAATCTCTTAATAATGAAATATATATAGATATTGGCTGTACCAGAAAGGTTTAATATTTGTCTCAGTTCCGGTTTAAATTAGAGAAAATGAAAATATGAAATTTATATAAGTGAAAATGGTTTTCGTCCCCATTGGAAACACAAGTTGGAAAATTAAGAAAGGTTTTATTAGTTAGACACAATTTTTATTACGATATTATAATTGAATAGATTTTTGATGAAACATTGATAGACTTGGGTTATGCATATGTATATTCAGTTCTGTTGTTGGGGATTGCCAGCAGGTTCTCGTGGCTATAGGAAAAATATGACAAATGCTTTATGAGTACGTTGAGTACTTAACAATCCAGTAGTTACTTTTGTCATATATGCGAATATATGAACATATATGATCTTAGACGTGCGCTGATTTCCCTTCTTTTGTGGATCGGTGTTGGCATATTGAAATACAACAAATTTTTTGTTAGTGTTAAAAACACACACACATGCACACACTGACATACACACACACACATGAATATATTTTATACTTTTAAATAGAGTTTTCCAATCAATGAGTGTGCTAATTCGTTTAGATAATATTTTTTTAGTATACCGTATATACATACATATATACACAAATATATATACAGAAGAGTGGACAGCCAGCAGACCATTAATAAATATTAACAAAGAATACTAACCGAAAATACAAAAAAAAACAAAAAACAAAAAAAAACACATATATAATGAGAAACACTAAATAAGAGCTTTAATTATTAAATAAAGAATATACCATTGAAAAAAAAAAATTGTTTTGAATTCTGATACCTGGAAGCGAAGTGAAATCTTTAAGGTTCGATTGAATTGATTGACTGACTGATTGACTGCCTGATTGAGTATGTATGAGTCACAGTCTGAGTGACTGATTGATTACTGATTGATTGAATGACCGCAGTCATTGATTGATTGATTCATGGGTAAACTGGTTGACTGATTAATGCAGTTATGATAGTCAAAACATGGATGATTGACCAACTGACTGATTGATTGATTGCTTGATTTATTACTACTAATTAACAATGATTGACGCAGGAATGATATCAGTTGGACTGCTTAGTGATCGACTAACATTTTGAACTCCTGACAGACTTTTTAACTGGCAGATTCATTGATTGACTTCCATTACAACAACTAATTACAATTGCCTGATTGACCGACTGAAGGATGGGTGATCCATTCATGGCATTAAAATATTAGTGTCAAAACTCGGCCCCCCAAATACAAGATTAAGAGCTCAATCCAATTCACCCACACATGTTGGAAGAGAAAAGTTAATCGGGATTAAAGTAAAATATCAAAACGTCAAACTCATACTATAAGAAACTAATCCAGATAAACGTAATCTGTATATTCATTGTATAGCTAAACAAGTTTCAAAACAAATACTTTTTGTAGGATAATATAGCAGGGCTTGTCGTATGAGAATTATCATTCCAAATTCATAAAGACTATCCCAAGAGCTAATGACAAATGTACAAATTGTGTATTGCCGACAGCCTGAGGGCATTGAAAATGCGTCTAAACATCATTTATTAGGCTCAATGATGCAACGAACTCTGCGATCTATTACCTGCAGCATGCAGCATGCAGCATTCAGCAGCCGATGCTGCCACACCCCCGCGGGGCTCAATCCGTCAGGCTGAAGCGAAAAACGAAGCATTTCGAATGCGATCAATGAACCTGTCAGCCCGACGACTCTCGACGCTCAACGCATCGCCAGCTCCATGTTCTACACAAATTTTGAGTAATTTATTTGGGATCGTAAAGAGCTGCAAAATATGCACACACGGCAGCCGGCATCGAGCGGCGAACGACTAGCATAACAATTCGCTCGCCCTATGAGACTGCTACCGTTTTTTTTTTTTTTTTTTTTTTTTTTTTTTTTTTGTTCGTGTGTGTCTTTGTGGCCCTGTCTATGCCCCCGCCCTGGCTCGAGCAAGGTGTCTATTCTCTACCTTGTGCTACATGCAACTACTTGCCGCTGTTCTCCAATTCAAGTCACGGCGTTGTTAACAACAACAACAACAACAATTTAGTTCCACTGTGCAGCCCATGCCACTGCCTTAATTATCGCTTCTTTTCTCAGTCAGTGCCTGAGCCTTTCTTTGTAATTCGTTTGCTTGCTTCTTATTCTTTAGTTGTTGTCCTCTTCTTGTTCTGGCTTTTCTTTCTGCTACTTTTTGAAACAGTCGGTGGTGCTTCATCATCAAGAGCATCTTGGCCATCATCAGCATCGTCATCAGCAGCATCATCATCAGGGCGTTTTCCTCAAACGTAACTCCCTTCTCGCTAACTCTCTCATTCTCTATGTCTCTCTTTCTCTCTCGCCCTCACTCTTTCTTTCTCTCTGTTAACACTGCAGTGGCAGCTCGACTAAGACCCTGACTGTGTTATTTTATTTCCTCTTAATACTTAGCCGCATACCTTTTGTTGTTTTTCATGTGCGGGAGAAAAGGTTGCCAGACTGTTGAACCTTCATCAACCTATTGAAAATTGAGAATACTAGATATCTATATCTTAAATTTAAATATATGTGTACATATAACTAAAATTAATAAATAAGTAATTACTAAAGCATCGAAATTGTATATGGGAAATATATATAATTTTCTTTATTTTAAATTAAGTCTATAAATTTATAAAGACAGTCTTTTAGATTATGATCAGATAAATAAAAAAATAATTGAACATTCTGATAACTAACCAACGACAATTCTTGCCTCAGTCAATGAGTAATCCATGAACTATTAATAATACCAATAATAACTTTAATAGTACCAATAATGCACTGTTAATGCATAAATTCTTAACTGTTGATTTATTTATTTATCTTATCATTTTAGTTCTCCAAGTTCTTTTTTGGGCCATAAAACTAATGTAATATTAACAAAAATATAATTTCTCATATCACTTGTGTTATCTATTTATTTATCTTATCTTTCTTGTCAGCTCTTCGAGTGTATTTAAATCCACATTAAAGTACTTCGTCTGGCACCGTATAGCCAATAATACGAATATGGTATTGACAAATATTATTTTATAAATACTTATACTCATACGAAACTTGTAATACTGCTCTAAATATCTTGCTTTGCTTTTCTCAAATGATACCCTACTCTGCTATATAGTACGTGTAGGCAGGTTATACTTACATACAAAAAGCCGCAAGCGGCCACCGCAGTTACTCCCGCGCTGATTGGATGCGGACCAGAGCGGAGCGGGGCTGCGCTGTGTTCGGCTGGCTGAATGCAGTCTGGCAACCCGCGCGCTTGCGCTCCTCTACCCTCGCAAACGGTAAGCAGTCGGTAAACAGGTAGCTCTCTAACTGACAATAACTCGTCGTACGTATGCACGTTCCGTGTCTGTCTCTCTGTCTTTGTCTGTCTGTCTCTCTGTCCATCTGTCCGCTGAGTGGGGCTGTCTGTCCGCAGCGTGCGACTGGCGGTCGGTTAGTTTGCTTGGCTTGCCAGTTGCTCTTGTTGTTGCTGCTGAGGTTTTCTTACTTGACTGCTTTTCTCTCGCTACTCGTTGTGGCGCGCTCTCTCGTCCAGGTCTCTCCCGTTCAGCTCTCTCTCCTGCTCTCTCTTTGTATGAGCCACGACGACGACTGCGCGTTCGGCACTGTTGGATTAGTCTTCGAGAGTTGATCGTAGTAGACGCACCTGCGCGCGGATCGTGCATCGTAGAACACACAGTGCAATTGTGTACGTATATATGACTCTGTGTGTGAGTGTGTGTGCCTGTTGTGTGACAGAGTATGGGTGCGTGTGTTTGTGTGATGTGCATTTGTGGGGGAAAAATGCAGGCACAGTGAACTTGTTGCAGCGTCGCCAACGCCGCGTCTCCCGCTCATCGTCGCTCGGCTGAAAAGCGCTTTTCAGTGGCGTGTCGTCGCGCGCGCGCATCTGTGTGCGTGTGAGTGTGAGTGTGCGTGGTTGTCGGAGTGTGTGTGCGTGTGTGGGTAGAGTTTGGGACTACTTGAGGAGCGAATTGGTAGCTGCACTGGCTTCAGCTCCTATTTCAAACAAAATGTAGAAAAACACATTTCAGCTGCCGTATCTCGTTTGTTGCTTGGCTCGTTCGTGCGTTCGCTCGTTCGCTTCGTGCTCGACTTCGGCTTTAGCTACAGCTTCGGCTTCGGTTCGTTTCGCTTGGCTTGTCGGCTCAATCGTGCGCTTTCGTACGTGGTTTGCTTTTGTTTTTGGTTGTGTGTTTTTTGTTGTTGCCTTCTACGTGGTTTGTGGTAGCCGCTGCCGCTGCTTCTGCTGCCGTTGCTGCTGCTGCTGTTGCTGTTGCTCCCGTTACACCCGCGACCGCGCGCGACTGATCGTGCCGTGATTGTGTCGCGCATACAGCTGTAGATATATTTGTATCTTTATATGTGTATGTGTGTGTGTCTGTGTGAACTGTGCTGCGTGTACCTAAACTCAATGAATATATTTTGCAAGCCCGACATGTTATCTAAACTTCCATATCTTATGAATATATACAAATCTTATGAATATATATACATATATATGCATATATCTAATATCCAAATATCGTTTGCTTCTAGAAATCATCAGAAAAAGTTCAAACACAAAAGTGCCCAAAGAAAGATAAAATAAAGCGAGAAAATAAAAACTAAATAAACTAAAACTTGTTCCAAAAAATCTGAAAATACCTGGAATATACTGGCCAAGGCGAGCTTGAAAGAGCCTCAGGCGCTCTTCACACAGCCATCAAAATTGTTTACAGGTAAGCAATGCGCCCCGGGCAGCGGGCAACACCCCCTACAAAAAGACACACGAAATGTACCAAAAGAAAGAAGCAGAAAAAACAAGCTCCAAAGATTCCACTAAAAAATTCCGCAGTTGAAATTTTTGTTTTTTTAGGGTCTAGCTAATTATTTTCTTTTGATTTTCGCTATGGCCAAAAGCAAATCACAGCGAGTAGCGAGTGGGCTCTAAGAGAGCGAACGGCAAAGAGAGAAAGACAGAAAGAGAGAGACTCAACTATAGCGAGTAGCAAAGTAAATAAAAAACAACGACGTTGACTGCTAAAACCTGCTCCAAGCACACATACACACACACATACACTTACACACATTTGTAAGTCAACGTTGGAGGCTCCGCCACAGTTGGCGGTTTTTGGGCGACTGGCGGCGGCTTCCACTACAACTGCATGTGCCACTGTCATTGCCACCGAACTCAGTGTGGTGCCTGCCTGCCTTACTGCCTGCCCGACTGCCTGCCTGGGCTGCGTTCCATTGACAGGCGGCCTGGCGCTCGACTCTGGCTGGGCTCCAGCTCGAAGGTTTTTAGCTTGGAATTTTTTTCCATTTTTTTTTCTCATTTTTTACTGACTTTTGTTGTTGTTGTTGTTGTCTGTAAACCAGTTCACTTGTAGCCAGTGCCAGTGGCCAGTGGGCTCTCAGCCTGGGTTTCAGCAGCTCTCGTCGTGCTCAATTTGAATCCGGTTTTTTTTATTTTGGACTTGGTCGACGTCGTCGTCGTCGTCGTCGTCGTTTTGGCCGTTGCCAGCTTGGCTTGCCGCGCGCTTTAATTGTTCAGAACGTGTGTCCAAAGAGGA